TCACTTGACTCTTAAGAGGTTCATCTGCACATGAATGATACTTGGCAGAGGCATATTTCTTAACATAACTATAGACCAGTTCCATTTCACAAACGTACACTCAACACAAGATACAACTATTAGCACAAAAGCTATTGTACTGCCAATACACACTCACAAGTGACCAAGACAAAGAACCTAACTCTTTAGTGTTCCCACAATGTCTTTACAGATACGTACAATCGGTCTGAACTCAAGTCAAGATTGCAAACAAACAACACACCAATTGTTCCTCTACACCGAATCCACACTTTCCTCGGCTTTAACACTCATTAACGTACAGCATTCAATACTTTATCCACTATTACAACTTCACATACACTCAAGGACAACAAACAATTAGAACTTTTGCATATCCAATGAACAACTCACCACACTTTCAACCCTTCTACGAAGTCCAAGATCCAGCTGACTTCACCACGAGATCCGTGCAACAGGTCTGGTCTGTTCTTTCAGCAACTTGAATTAGAGCAATTCCGTCTTGTAGGTTCTATGTGGATTTAGGAATTTCCACACGCTTTCTGGGGTGCCAAATGTAGAATGTGCTCTGATTTGGGGTTGCCCTTAAATTACTGATGAACAACTGAATCTTAAATAAGTGTTGGGTTTATTTACAAATAGGGATATACATACATATTACAATTAAGGGAATTTGAAAGGGGAATTGGGGATAGGAATTGAGGGTAAGGATCCTACAGCTAGCTACACCATTCTCTCTCTCTCATTCACACAAGCCATGGGTTTTTCTCTGTTCTTCGGATACGCCTCTCCAGCAGGTCTCAGCGAATCACATTCTTGATTGCAGAGTTCAGAAAGACTTGTCTTGTCCAAAGGTCTGGCTTGTCAGCTAGGTTAGTGTCACACAGGAAGAAGGTTCCATCATATGCCCCTGCCCACCATCCCAGCATATATGCCTTGCTGACACAGGTGAGGGCAGTAAATACCAGCAGGGGGTAGGGCTTGCCCCAGGACATGACAGTCCAGCAGATCTCCTTTGATCAGTGTCCAGCCCCAAGAACCCTTTGATGGTCTTCATGTGCATATCAAACAGCACGGGCAGCTCACGATATTAAGGAACCTTTCCATCAAAGATGTATCATAGATGTCAATTATTTTAGCTTCCAACACCAGGTGAACCCATCATATTACTCAACTATTATATTACTCAACTAGGTGAACCCATCATATTACTCAACCAGGTGAACCCATCATATTACTCAACCAGGTGAACCCCACATATTACTCAACCAACATGTTACTTAACCAGGTGAACCCATCATATTACAAAGCCATCATATTACTCAACCAGGTGAACCCAACAAATTATTCAGCCATGTCCAGTTGATCCCATCAAAGATAGAACCACGTCACTTGGCAGAGAACACAGGTATCCAGAACTCCTGGGAGTGTTGAATGCTGGAGATCCTTACAGCCCAATGGAACTTACAGTTTAAAGAACCCAAATCCAATCCGGATGCATCAAAACAAAAGATGTGAAAAGTCCGACAGTTGCGTCTCTTCACAAATCAGCAGCAACCTGACTAGAAAAGCCTGTCCCCTGCCAGCATGCTGTAGACATGGACCCTTGCTCAGTGTGTGGAAGCAGCGGTCTCTCTGCACATGTCTGACACACATCCCTTGCTGAGTCAGACCTATAGCTACGCAATTAGCCAAGCTCATGCTCCCTCGTGATTGGAGAGCTCTCCAATCGCGTGGTGGACCTCTGAAGAGCGACCACTGCCTCCACACAGGGAACATGGTTCTTTTCTGTGGCATGCTGGCAGGGGACAGGCTTTTCCACTCAGGCTGTGGCTGCTTTTTGAAAATAATGAGCTGTAAGACTTTTCACACCTCTTAAAGTGCCCATACACTTTACAACCCTCGCAAGAGTTTTGTCTTGCGAGGGTTGTAAAGTACTTAAAAACACGTACGATCTGCCCATCTTGGACAGGCAGATCGTACTTGCGACCATCGCAAGCGCTTGCGATGACTGCAATGAGGGGCGGGCTTGCAAGGACGGCAAACGGGCAGTGTGCGCGTGCGCACACCGGCCCGTTCGTCAGTTGTCGAACAAGCAGGCCACTAACTCGCCGAGAATCGTACGATTCCCGGCGGGGTTTCTAGCCTGCTGGTTCGACGGAAGACGTGCGACCGTACAGTATCGCGGATTTTCCGCGATTCTCGTACGGGAATCGTACAGTGTATGGGCACCTTTATTGTGATGCACCCAGGATTTTTTTGGCTGATTAAAACTTAAAGGTTCACTTAGAGAAAGCTTAAGAATACAGAGCTGGAACGAATGAGAGGTAGGAGAGACAGGCCACCGCACACAATATGTCTACCCGCACGTTGCAGTAATGAGCGCAGTAACGTGCACTTTACCACGATGCAGCAGTGTGAGCCCGGCCTAGGTCTGGGGATCGGTACATTACTTAGGGCCTGTGCGCTGGGGTCTGCTGCCCTGGAAAAAATGCAATATGCTTGCTTTTAATTCCATGCTGGTGCGTTGGCTGCATTAATAGGCAATGCAGGTTGATGCGCAACATAATGCATGGTAACGCAAGGCACCAGAAGCCAAAGTATGAATGGGCCTCCCTAAGTTGAAGAATGTCCGGCCTGCCACCTTTAGAGGCTGGTAGTTAATTTAGGGCTTGTATAGACCACAGCGTGCAAAATAATCGCAGCGTAACGTATTATAAGGCCCATCACTACAATGCATGGTACAATCAGGCAACAGGGGGAATTTAGGGCTCACTCACACCAGTCCATGCGCTAAAACACGCGCGCCCTGGTGTGCGTTTTGTAGGGGCGGTACAACGCATTGCATTGTTTATTTTTTTATTTTTAACTTTATTACAGAGTCACAAAATGACATTTCATTCAACTCTATGCACATGGCTAACCAGATGGTTTTAGATAAAGTAGAGCCAGCAATTAATTTAATAGCTCACACTTAATTTTGTGTGTTCTGGGAAGTGTGACTGAGTATGTAATTAGACATTTGCCAATACAAACCTTTCCTTTTATTTATTTTTGTTAAGAAATTAATTAAAGACCAAAAAAAAAGAAAAACAACAACGCCCAACGTGGGGCTCGAACCCACGACCCTGAGATTAAGAGTCTCATGCTCTACCGACTGAGCTAGCCGGGCGCTTGGAGATACAGCGTGCACATGTTTTGACATAGCTCTATGTATGGCAGAGTGACGTCATGAAAAGGTGGGGCATGGAGTCGGCTGGGGGGCGTGGTATATTGGAGTTTAGGGAACTGAGTGTGAACATGTCGGCGGGAAGTGAGATGAGCGGCCCGGTTTCCCCGGCGCCGTCCATGCCGGTCTGTGTGGCTCTGGGTCTGGTCTCCTTGCTGTGCTTCGTGGCCGGGTTCGGTACCGGGGCGGAGTTCGTGCGTTTCCTGTCATTCGGGGCTCTGTTGAGGAACATCAGCGAAGGGCAGGAGGGTGAGCCGGGCGGGCCGGGGAGTGAACATGGCGGGAACGTTCGGCTATGGGGGGGAAGGAAGGGTAGGGTTATGTGGGCGATGAAGGCTCCCATTTAAGGGCCGGTGAGGGTGGGTCACGTGGGATGCAGGGTGCACCACGTGCTTCTTAAAGGTGCCCCACATCCTACAGGTACCCCATGGCCTTGACCTCCAGGGACAGTGTCTGCTTATGTCCCTGTGAAGACCTTATCGTGCCATAGTGTTGAGCTGCATGCATGATTTCTGTGTGCTGTGTTCCCACTCATTGTCTATGGCACCCCAATGCATGGTATGTTAACAGCAGGCATTGCAAGAATGAAGGGTATGCATGCAGTTGCGGTACTGTGCACGTGGAACGTATGGCTGATGGAGGTGTCACAGAATGTATGGAAATGATACATTTAGCTCAAACGCTATGGTGTGAATGGGCCCCAGGGGTCTGCTCACACTGTCGTGTTGATGTGATGAGGTGCCATTCATTTTGATTGCAACCTGCCAATGGATGCACAGTCGCCGTGCACTGTTTATTGGCAGCATAATGCATCTCTATCATCAGTGTGTTGGGATGTGCTCCATAGTAACTTGCAACACACTTCTCGTCCTGGGGTGACAACACTCACCATGTTGTATTAATAATCAGCGTTGTCACCCTAGGACAAGAAGTGTGTTCTGACTGCAGAGCATATTTGAATGGCAGCCCAACACGTGTTTTGTCCTAGGGTGACAACACTGCTTCTCCATTAATATAGTACAGTTCTGTAGTGACAAGAAACTGCCACCTGAAGAATCACTTGTGGTAATGTTGACTATCAGGTCTTCCACCGTGGATTCTAGTTTTTCCTGTCGGCTGTGTCCAGAAGTGACAGATGCCAGCACATTGTATTGTCAGAGTTTGAAGTGTGAGAGATCGGCATTCACTACTTTGCAGGAAATACTTATTTTGGCAACAGTCACTATAGACCTGGCGGGTCACTTTTATATGCAGTGGGTCTTGTGCTGACCCTCTAAAGAGATTAATATCTGATAATTCTCCTCCTTTCCTATTACAGGTGAGTCCCCCCTGCTGTGGCGAGACGCTATCGGAGACTCTCACTTCCTGCGCTGTCTTGGGATAAATATGGCCTTGCTCCTTGTATTCGTTTCCCAGCACAGCCTCATGGCCTGGTCTCCATTAAAGGAGGGGGTGACTCGGGTGTTTGGTGTTCTTCAGCGCTCCGTTTATATACTGTGCACGGCCCTCTCCCTCCAGGTATTGTGTCGCTCTCTTATTATATGACATAAAGTTCTTTGGCACATTTCTTTCTAACGATTATTTTCATAATCGATTAGTTAGCCGATTATTGAGTTCGATTAATCGACTAATCGGATTTAAAAAAAAAAAGGGTTCAGTGATGAACTACTAGTTTCTATTGAGATTGTAGTCCATCACGGGAGCAAGCTTGGCGCGGTGGAAGTGTGGTGTGCAATATAGTACATTATACAGCGGCGCAGTGCAGAATACCAGCAGCTATAGAGGAATGTAGCACAGATGGTACTTTCCAGAATTTGTGGCTGGGTGCTCGTCTTTTTTTAATTGGCTCCCATTGCTAAAATAATGACCGTTTATAGCACATAAAGGAGAACTATGAGGTGAGTGAAAATCACTCAGCCTCATAGTTCGAGCCGACGTGTGACAATGGAACTGTCACACGTCGGCTCAATAGATCGGGAAGTGAGTGAACACATACCGTCAGTCGCTTACTTCCCAATCATCTCCTGCAGAGAGCCTTGACTATCAACCACCACTCCCTGCAGGGATTCCCCCCTCTCCGATCCTCCAGCGCTGAGTGGGGGAATGGACATGGGAGGGGGCGGGCACAGTTGGCTCTGCCCCCATATAGGCAGAGCCTGCTGTCACTCACACAGCTGGATGGATCTCGACAGTAATGTCGGGATCTGTTCTGGTTGCGGCAGTCCCCGGGTTACGGACGTCCGACTTATGCACAATCCGTACTTACAAACAGGGTGTTGGCGGGGACACATACCGCCGATGGCCCACGTACCTCCGCTGATGTGCCGGCTTCCTCTTCAGCCGTTACGTCAGCTTCCCCGGTCCGGACGATCCTCCGGTCTCCTGATCCGGACGCGGCTCCTCTGCCCCACCCCCCTGCCTACTCTTCATTGCAGGCTGGGAGCCATACCCAGCCTGCTATTGGATATTCGCCAATAGCAAGCTGGCTATTGCTCCCGCCCACTGTCTGCTGTCAATCAGCATGGGGGGACCTGATAGAGAACTTTCTGCTTCAGGCTCCTCCTCTGCTGATTGACAGTGGGCAGATGCAATAGCCAGCCTGCTATTGGTTATTGCAATTTGAAATTATCCAATAGTAGGCTGGCTATGGCTCCCAGCATTAAAATAAAAAGTTTAAAAAAAATTTAATTAAAAAGACAAAAAAAATTAACCGTAAAAAAGTTAAATAAAACTTAGACATGCAAAACAAAATAAAGTTTAAAATAAAACTAAAAATAGAAAATAAACTTTTTTTGCTGTGTCATTTTAAATTTAAAAAAATGTAATTATATTATCTTCCGAACAATAGGAACAGACAGCAAAAGAACCGTGACCCTTCCCTATGCTATCCAAAACTAAAATAACATTTTTGTTGGCTGGAGTTGCACTTACAAATTTTTACCTGTTTTCCAACTTGCATACAAATTCAACTTAAGTACAAACCTAAAGTCCCTATCTTGTATGTAACCCGAGGACTGCCTGTATATAGCGGGCAATAGCCTGCTATATACTGAGCTTTGGGTCACGGGAGGAGGTTAGTAAATGTCCTCCCGTGACCCTAAAGAGAACTATGGGAAAAAAGTTTACCCCAACAAAAAATGTTTCATACATTCCTAAAGACGTCTGGGGATGTAGAGAACATTTATAGAGCAAGGAAGAGTATTCCCACCTTCACCTCACATTTCTACCATCCTGTAATGTAATCCAGGTCATGTTTTCCATGGTGCAACTGCTCACTCATATGTCAGGAAAGTGGCAAACTCCGGCTGTTGTGGAACTACAAATCCCATGATCTTTTAACCTTAAAAAGTTCCAGGTACTTTAAACTGCAATGCTCTGTGGGATTTGTAGTTCCACAACAGCTGGAGGGCCAGAGTTTGCCCACTTTCCTGACATATGAGTTACACAGAATATGCTCTGGTAGTGGAGAGCAGTTGCACCATGGAAAACGTGGCATGGATTACATACAGGATGGTAGAAATGTGAGGTGAAGGTGGGAATACTCTTCCTTGCTCTATAAATGTTCTCTACATCCCCAGACGTCTTTAGGAATGTATGAAACATTTTTTGTTAGTACATAAAGCTGTAGGGAAGAGGTGGCCGGCTTATCAGATGATGGGTGTAGTTATGTGTGCTAGTGGCTGCTTCTCCTTTATATCTAGCCTACCCCAACAATTCATATGATGTGCATGTGTCTGCGTTTTGATGTTCTTTAAGGTAAATTTTGCTTTTTTTTAAGGTTATTTATTTGTTTTGAAGCACCTGGTGACCCTGCCAGTTCCCCCTCATTCCTGCGTGATTCTGACCATGACAAGTACAAAGGTAGATCTGTGCCGGCATGGTCACTTTGCATATCTCTTATTGATTCTAGGAGATATAGCACGCCACACATCGGCCTGTATTTCTGTACTCCAGGTAGCTGCTATTTCCCCTACCCAGCCCTGCTTTTGCTTATGGACAGCAGTGGGTGGCGGATGCAATACTCTGGCTCCTGCAGACTCTTCCTCCCAGCTCCAAGTCCATACTGTTGTACGCCTTTCAGTTAGGGGACAAGAGGAAGTGTTGGACTAATGATGTCACCACACTTGTACTCCATTGGGGGGGCGACAAGTCCCTCTGCTGTGATGTCACATGGGTCTTGTAGTCTCTATATTTGCAAATCCTGTCAAAAGATTTGTGAATGGAAGACAGAGCTGTGGTGATGGAGCCATGTACAGCTGTGCCAGTTTCAAATATATACAGAATCCTGCAGTGAGAAGAGTCCTGGGATTCTGGTAAGATGGGGGGGGGGGCTACAGATATAACCATGTTAGATGTTAATTAAACCCGAAATATAATTGTAGCATAAAACATGGTAATGAAGGTGGATAATTAAGAGTTCAAAAATACTTTTTCTCCCCCCCACACTTTATAGATCATGATGAGATACTGGCAGTCCTTCCCACGCGGTCCCTTCCTGTGGAATGTCCCCACCGGTCAATGGAGTGCATTATTCCCTGTCATCTGTGCGCTGCTACACACCATATCATGGCTGCTCATTTTCAGTGTCCTCCTTGTCTTTGATTACGCAGAGCTCATGGGCATTAAGCAGGTAAGTCGGCTGATTAAAACGTAGCACATTGGTTTCCAGGAACCAGAGCTGCTTCTACTCAGTTTAGAACAACAGATAATAGTTTTAAAGGCTATTAATGATACATTTGTTAAATTTGAGTTAATGTATTAGGGTGTTTAATGTACCCCAGGGGGCATTGGGTAAATCCTAGAGTAACCCTTTGGGTGTCATGGATGTGTCCCACAAGTCATGGTAATCAAAGGGGTCAAACATGATCATACGGGCTTATAAGTAAAGCCCCCGTGTGATTTTGGGGCTCTCCCTCTCCTCCTTGGAGCCCAGGACAACAAACGGTGTAAGGTGATGTTTGGGAGGAGATTGAGGAACATCTGTTTCTAAATGTCCTCTGCAATAAATAAGCCAGGAAGTGTCCAGCCTGAGCACTTACTGTACATGTTCAGAATTGTCACATATCTGCAGCTCAGGAACTGTTTGTGCTCAATTTGCTTTGGCAAGAGTGCAGGGGAGACATCAGGGGTCTAGTAGACTACCTGCTTTATATACTACAGGTCCTCCTTATTTCAGAAAATGTGTGATACGTCAAGCCACAAATGTGGATTTTAACACGTATGATATAAAGGGAACATTTGGTCTGGCAGTGGAAGGGCTAAAGTGTTTTTATTGCAGTAACTTTTTCTTAGCTTTGGCTAGAATAGAGAAGAGATAAATCCGCTGTTTTGCTGTCTGGGCACCATTGGTAAAATTTCCCAGAGATGCAACATGAAGTTGGAGATAATCTCCCTAAAACTGGCCATACACCTTACAACCATTGCAAGACTTTTTTGTCTTGCGATGGTTGTAAGGTAAATTAAAAAACGTACGATCTGCCCATCTTGGACAGGCAGATCGTACTTGCGATCCTCGCAAGCCCGCCCCGCTGATTGGCGGGCTACCGATGACTGCAATGCTGAATGGGCAGCGTGCGCTTGTGCACACCGACCTGTGCGGCATTTGTCTTACGGGCAGGCCACAAACCTGCCGACAATCGTACGATTCTCGGCGGGTTTTCGAGGCGTGCGACCGTACAGTAGAAACGGTTGCACGCCTTTCATACACCTGCCGATTATCGTACGATCGAGGGTACGATAATCGACAGGTGTATGGGCACCTAAAGTGAGGCAATTCCCTTTTTTAGAGAGGTGCCCCTATTGGAAGATTTTTCTCACCTTTGTGTCCTGAGGACAACTCCTAAAATTTTAGCTTTCTTGGTGATGTCACCAGTACAAATAAGATAAGTCGCCCCAATGGGGGCGCAGACAGCAACAAATTCTTGACGGGGGTTTAACCCTTTTCAAATCTAGGAAAAGCAAAAAAAAATACCAACGCCAGCACCCGCAACTTGTATGCACAAAAACTAGTAACACTAGTGATGCAGCTCCCATTGGTCAGGGCAACCGACAAACTGGAAAACATAAAGCAAAAAGGAGCGCCTCCATAGTGTAAAACAATATTTAATAAAAAGAAGGCACACAGCTAGGGCTGTACTTACAAACAACTGTGGAATACTGGCATATAGCAACGATGGGTGAACGAAATCACGAACAAAGACGAGCTGGAGTATTGATGTTAAACCAGAGTCTTCTGCCCCCAAGTATTCCACGGGTTAACATGTTTCAGAAGCAATGCCCCCTTCATCAGAACCTATAGGTTCTGATGAAGGGGGCGTTGCCTCTAGCTGTGTGCCTTCTTTTTTTATTAAATACTGTTTTACACTATGGAAGCGCTCCTTTTTGCTTTATGTTTTCCTTTTCAAGTCTATTCAAAACTACAACAAAAGAAAAGGTTTTGCTTAGAGATACATAAATAATCTTGAGGATGTTCTTCTGTGCAGCCGCCCATACACAAATAACATGGCAGGGCTGCTAATCTTGACCTTTTGGAGGACTTCTAACAATAGATTTAGTTGTAATCTAGTTTGTATCTTGGCTACCTGCTGTGCTCAGGCACAGATTTGCTATGTATCAGCCTGTGGAATTCAGTTATCTCCCTAACCGAGTTATTCTTTGTAGATCTGATAGTTGTATATGATTTATCTGCGCTAGGCCTTTATATGTACTGGTGCTCAACGATTTAAAAATGGTGCTCAGCAAACAATAGGGCCATAGATATGCATGCTTGTATTTGTGTACATTGTGCTTTACTTACCCCAGCGGGCGCTCGTCATGGTGCACCCGCTGTAGTTTTACGTTCCCTGTGTACATGCCAGAAGCTGCTGGTGTTCGAAGTATTCAGGAAAGGAAAATTGCACTTTGTTCTGGTATTCCCCAGGTTTCCAATGACTTATAACGCCGGCACTTGAAATCTTTTAAACTGCATTCTTTTCAATTGACTCTCTCGCAGGTGTATTACCACTGCTTTGGAATGGGCGACCCCTTGTCTCATAAGTCGCCCCGTGCTGCCCGTCTGTATGCCCACCTCAGGCACCCCGTCTTTCTGGAATTGCTTGTGATCCTGTGGGTGGTCCCCTCCCTTCCACCCGATCGCCTTCTCCTGGCCTCCGCCCTCACGCTGTACGTCTGTTGTGTTCATCGACTGGACGTTAAAGACTACACCTACCTCCGCTCCCAGCTGGAGAAGAAGTTCTCACTGTTCACCCGAGAGGAAGCAAATGCTGATCAGGAATCGTTATGGAAGAAGGACTGAGAGGATGGCTTTGTAATTTGGCTTTTATAAGGGACGCATATAAAAAGAAGCATAGCTTGGGTGAAGTATTTTGAGCTATAAATAAGTGTTGGCCTGCAGAAAACAAGTGCCTCGGATGGATGGACAATGGAATATGAAGGACAGAAACCTTTTAAGTATTTTAATTGTGGATAAAAACTTTGCACCTTGACCCCCAAGACATTGGATTTTAATATATTTTAGAAGTTTTTAAGACCGTGAGGGGAAAGTGATTCTTGTCTCACGGCCTGAACACAGCGACGTGTTTAGGATCAAATCTGATTAGCTAACCATGTGTTATACAGAAAGAGGCAACACTGGGGATGTCATATTTATGAGGGACTATAGAACCACCCAACACTTTTTAAGGAAGCAGCATTTGATGTCGTCATCATTGAAAAGGCTCCGTGTTCTTCAGGCCGGAGCTCCACCGTGTGACTCTCATGAATATATCTACCTGTAGAGAATTGCTCTGCCATTTGCTTTTCTAGCCATTGCTGCCATGCAACAACCCCTATGTGTTTGGAGGTACAAATCTCCACAAAGCTATCTGCTTTTTAAAGTGACTACACTCAGGGGTTAAATCTTAATGTATTCCAAGTCTCTTAACTATTAATAAAAATGTATCTTATTTGTCTATCACTCGGCTGTAGATCCTCAAATCATCTCTGAATTGGTGCTGACACTGTCCTTCCTTCTGGGGGGGGGGGGGGAC